GGGCCCATCAGGGGAATGATTTGCCCCTTTCCACAGACCCACTTCAAAGCCTGTCACCTCCATAGCCTGCTCCTGCTCTGCTAAGCTATTCTGACCAACTGTAGTAATTTTCTGAAAGGTTGAGAATTACAGGGCCCATCAGGGGAATGATTTGCCCCTTTCCACAGACCCACTTCAAAGCCTGTCACCTCCATAGCCTGCTCCTGCTCTGCTAAGCTATTCTGACCAACTGTAGTAATTTTCTGAAAGGTTGAGAATTACAAAATGAACACAGGGAGGCATCCCTAGAGCTCTGGACTGAAAAAATGCACAGAGTGACTTGAAATCCTCCCTGGCCATTCAACAGCCAAGCGTCTTTATGCAAGTTAGCCTCTCAAAGCTGGTTTCCTTATTCATCACCTAAGAATTGTAGTAATGTTTTTACTGGTTCTTGTGTGGACCACCCACATCCAAAGCCTGGTGGGAAGTTGGCCTGGGGTTGTGGAAGCTCTTGAGTAGGGGACATCATAACGCATGTCACGCGGGGCTCTTCTGTAGTTTGGGTAGCAACAAAACCTCAGCAGGAGCCTCCTGAGGGACAGGGGGCTGCCCCTGGGGTCTAGGTTTGTCTGGGCCCCTTCCTTTGCCTCTCCAGATATTCCCTAGTCACCTCCATGTAACTTTGCCCATAGAGCTCCCTAAGTGCTATTCCTTAAGTTTTTGAGTAGGTAATTCCTTCACATAGTTCACAAGTCATAAAGTCTTCCTTGCATCCCTGACCTGACAAGCCCAACTTTAACACCCCTTGAACTCCTTTTAGTTTGTTCCATGTAGATCCTTCCAGTGACAATTTATGCATATACAGGTAAATACACACGTGTATGTATACACGAGTGCTTGTGTGTGTATATATAATTTTTCTTTTTTTTTTTTTTTTACTTATGTGATACCAGACAAGTATATCCAAGGAGCATTCCTATTCATGGGGGAAGAGCCACTCAGAAGGCAGAGTATCTGTAAAAGGTGAGCCCATAATTGGGGGATGTCTTCGCAATCACATTCCTTTTTGAATAAGGCATTTTTTATTGACTGCAGCATACTGGAATTCTTGTTTTCCATACAAAGCAGAAACAGCAATCCCTCCATGGCCCTTACCAAACAGATGCTCGGATAGTACGTGAGCACAACCAATTTCTAGACTGTCTTCCTGGTCTGTGACGGGACACTCAAAAGCAGGTTCCACTCTCTTGCTGACAGCAGCAATGCAGAACTCTGGTCCTGGTCCAGCAGTCTTTGCAGGGCCTGGACAAGCTGCCCCCACCCCCACCAAACCCTATCTGATGGGGTGATGTCTGGCTACAACAGCCATGATTTCTTAGGTGAGCTCCTGTGTTTTTGAGGCAGGGGATGTGAGAAGCAGCAGCAACTAAAGCCTCAGGCAGCCTTCTTTTTTGGGGGTGGGTGGGTGGGAGGTCTCAGATGATGCTAAGCAGGTAGGTAGGCAGTCTCCTCCAAATTAACCATAGATACACACCGTTCAGGGTCCATATTGAAGGTCATGTGCTCTGCTCCCTTTCCCACCCCACTCTTTATGCACACATTAAAAAGAAAATGCTTCCCACAGAATTTTCTCCATTCGACAATAGAAATTACTCCATCAGTCATCTTTTCCTTTAAAGAAAAAAAAAATGTCTTAAGTCCATTTTTGCCCCTGCAGAAGATCGAGCTGCTGCTTCCAGGCAGCTCTGCAGGGAGGGGCATGGACTCCTGCCTCTTGGTCCTCACCAACCTCCCTGGCATCCTGCCTTCCCTTGGATTAAAAGTGCAACTTGGGCCCCTAACCTGAAACTTGAAAGGAACTGTATGTGAAATGCCACCTGTTAGCGAGTGTCTCGTCCTGGCTAGAATGTCTTCCACACAAGCTATTATGAATTTTAAGTAAAAGAGATGAACATGTCTCAATTCGCAATGTCTAAATTCTGGTAAAATCTGCAGCTGAAAACTGGAAATGGTTCTTTCATAGAGAAGATGAACAAAAGATCCCATGTGCCATGGAATATGCTTCCATTTGAGAATAGCAGGAGAAAAATGGGGCTTATTCAGTTTGTTCACCTTCAGAGCCCAACTTGTTGCAAGATGCAAAGAGTTTCGTTCCACTTTTAGACCAAGCATCGCACCCTTGGCTTACCAATCCAGAGCTCACTCCTGCAGCTCTGGGGTCAGGGAGAACACCCACCCTGCTTCAGGGACATGGACCTCGAATGTGGTCCCCACCAGCCAAGGGACCTGTTTGTAGTTTGAGGAAGCTCCCCTCTGCTCCCTGTGCCAGTACCAGCCTGGATGGTCCTAAGTCTAGGGCCAGGTGCACATTATCCTTCCATGTGCCCCTTCCCTCATAGGCCCTGCTAGATAGAGCAGGTGGGGCCAGGGTTAGGGATGTCCCTCCTGGCGAGGGCCTGGTCTTCCGAGAGTGCTCCTGATACTGTCGTCTCTGCATTTCTTGATGTCATTGCCACGAAGGGGATAGTTTAGGTCCTGTAGTTTATTTAGCCCACTGGATTTTATTCACTAGATCTTGTATAACTCCCTCAAAAAAAAAAAAAAAGGTTTATGAAATGCTGATTCTCGGGTTTCATAGACGTATTTGTACACTAAGAATTCTGCAGCAGAATATTTTTAAACATTCGCAGTTTTTTGTAAGCTATATTTTTGTATATTTAAGTGCTATTTTAAAATTTTAATGCATTTTTGGCTAATTACTGTTTTAGAAACAAAACGTGCATGTAATTGACTTAAAACAAATGTAAATAAAAAACAGGTTTTGAAAATACTTTGTGTTGCATACGTACCCTGTAACTCAGAGGGACCTGAGGTCACCTATACCCCACTTCAGCCTGTGTAGCAGGAGTTGGAAAGTCAAGGTGAGTGGCTCTGGTCAAAAAGAGCTGGTCACCAGCAACATGGACTGTGATCAAGACGAGCTTTCAGCCTGCACCCCATACATCCCAGGTACGGGGCTGGGGGTCGGGGTCAAGGGTAAGGACTGGAGCACCAGGTCACAGTGAGGGAGAAAGAGGCCAAGGCCCCACCTGCCTCCCTCCCTGGCCTTGGCACTGCAGATGCGGCTGGACATACCAGTGGTCTCACCAATGCAGATACCAGTGCTCAGGGGGGTTGAGGTGGTGGAACTAGCCCACACCCCACCTCTCTAGCTACATCACAGGCTTGGAAATACCAACTATTCTGTTAGAAGAAAAAGACATCTCCTGGTCCAAAGTCACCCTGTGGCGACTGCCATTTCTCCTCACCGCCCCTCACTAGGACTCCTGCAGGTCAGCTTTGGCCCCACAGCTTGGGGAAAAAGTGCTCCCCTCTAGGCCATCCATGACCCTGCCACAAATCTGGACCACTTCTCAAACCTCTGAATACAGGTGCCTAGAGAGCTCCTCTTCCCCAGCAGCCTGGGCAGCAGGCCCCACCAAAGCCTTACTGGACCACTTTCTTTGCAGCCTTTTCCTGCTCTGCCCATCTTGTAATTGTTATTCTCATTCTACCTTCATAGTCACTGAATTCCCACCTAGATGCACATCATTCTCAGGTCTGAAATCTCCAATTAAAATATCCAGCTGCCTTTTTGGTATCAAAATCACACAGTCCAAAACCAAGCCTCCCCAAGAAGCCTGGGTACCCTCACAGAGACTCCCTCCCCCCTTGCCAGTCACCGCATCCCAGCACTCAGCCCTGTGAGCCTTCATCTCCAATCTTGGTTTAGGCGACCCCTGCCCGCACCCCCCACACGGTCTCTAGTTGCCGCGGGGGGGACCCTCAGGCTACCTCATGACGGGCAGACTGGGAGGGACGTTGCTGACAGAATGCAGTGGTACCTGGAGATGGGAGCTGATTTACGTTAATCTCACAAGCCAGAGGTAGTGAAGTGGCAGTAAACTGGTATCTGGCTCAGGGAAGAGAATGTACAGCGATGGCCTTACACCCAGTGATGAGAGGGGAAGGCGGTCACTGCCTTGGGGCTACAGGTCAGAGGTAAGCGCTAGGAAGGGCCGCTACCTTAGAAATCAGCGTCCAGGGCTGCGGACTGCTGAGGGAGGTCCGGACCTGCACCTGTGTCCTATAAGCAGCAGCAGCCGGCACAGGCAGGCGTGGCCTGGGAGGCAGAAGGAAAAGCCAGAGGGGCCTGCTGTGTTAGAACTGAAGATGAGGACCTGAAATGTCCATCAGACTGAGAAACCACTCACTGGTGACGGATCCGGCACCCTCCCAGCTAGTGACAGCGTGGGCTGAGCACAAAGCACAGGGAAGTCACGGAGGCAGCTTCTCCAGAGCAGGGAAGTGCGGCTCCACGGAAGCGGAAGGTCAGCGCTCTGCAGAAGAGGAGGCTCTGCCAGCTCGAGCCTGGGACCTCAGGCAGGTTTGTTCCTGCTCAGCTGCAGGGTTCACAAAGGCTGCAAAGAGGCCAGCCACGTAAAGCACTGGTCACAGCCTCGTGAGCACAGTACACGTAGGGGGAAAGCAGGGCACCCCCAGCACAGGGGCCAGGGTCTCTGTGGGAAGCGGGCTCCCTCCTTCCCTCCACTACCGTCTCTGCAGGGAAGCAAACGAAGAGGGCCTGCGGCACATGGGGCTCCAGAAGCACGACTGTGTATCAGCAAATGGGTAGTGACACTGTCTCTGGAGGCCGTGGGGAATGTGGGGCCATCAAGCCCGTGTCTGAGGCCTAAGGAAGATTAGAGGTAGCTTGGGCTGAGGCCCCCACACGAGGGGCAGCAACAGCGGAGAAGCTGATTGCCACCCAAGGGCCACAAGCGTCCCTCCAGGTCTGCTGCCCGCACCAGGCTGGCAGCACTTACAACCCACAGGCGCCCAACTGCATGAAGGGGCGTCCCCGGGGAAATGGCCGCTCCGCCCTGCAGGCAGCTGCCCTTGGCAGGCACGTGCCTCTGCTGCCCTCACGCGGCCAACACAAGAGGTGCCGAGGGATCAGCCCTCC